GCGCCGCTGGCAGCCCCGCGTGTGGGCGCTCTTCGAGGACCCCTACTCGTCGCGGGCCGCCAGGGTGAGCGCACTGTCGGAGCCCCCCTCCCCCTCCCTTCTCCTGAAGCTCCCAGATCCTCAGGAATGCCCATCCCCGCCCTCGATCCCTGGCCCTTCTCAGCCCTTCCTGGTCACTCAGCCTCCCAGTCTCTTAGACGCCTCTTACCCCATCCCTGAGTCTCCTGTACTCTTCTGAACACACCCCTCTCTCCCAGCCATCCCCAAGTCCTCAGAAGATGCTTTCCCAACCTTCAGAATCCCCCAAAGAGCTTTAAACACCACTCTGCGTCTCTAGGCCATCCTAGACGGTTACAAACTTCCTCTCTGACCATCAGTCTCTTAAGCAACCCCCTGAACAACCCCACCCCCGCCTTTCCTGAACCTCTCCAGAGACACTCAGAAGACCTTTCTTCAACCCTCAAGAGTCTTCCCAACCCCCCTTTAACCTCTTCTCATCTCTCTTGGCCACTCCTCAGACCCTCAGAAGGCCCCTCCCCAGCCCTCAGTTTCTTGAACCATCCCTAGATCCTCAGAAGACATCTCTTTCTAACCCTCCAAGTATCCCAGGACCCGTGAACACGATCCCCACCCCCTACAGACCCTCTGAAGCCCCCTCTCCAGCTCTTCAACCTTCAGTCCGTTGGGGTCTCCCAACAACCCCCTGATTCTCCCTCTGCCCCTCTCCTCATCCCCTCCCTCTCTCCAAGTTTGAGTCTCCTGGTTATTTTTGAACCCCGTGCTTCTTCTGCCCCTAAAGTCTCAGAATAGTTCCCACTCCAGTCTCAGAGTCCCCTGGAGCCTTCTGAACGTCCAAACCCACTTGCTCTGGCTGAGACACTTCCTCCTCGCCCTCACTGTAACACTGAGTGTTGCAGCATCTTCCCTTCTGGGACCCTTCCACCCCTTCTGTGTCTGCATACCTTCTTGCATCCTTCACACCAACTCCCTTCCCAAGGATTTCCCTAGACAGCTTCAGACTTCTCCCAAGACTTTCACATTCCTCAATGTCTCCAGAAGAGTTCTGAGCCCATAATATGCCTTTCCTCCCCAGAACTTCCCATATGCCCTCCAGAATTATATCTCCCTCATTTATAGATTCTCCCAGTTTCTCTTCCATCGTCTAAACTACATAGCCCACTCTATCTCTGGGAACGCCCAGTCTCCAGCCTCCCAGCCTCTTTCCTAGTCAGTAAATGACTTTCCTGCTTCAGAACTTTACCTAACCCCTCAATCCTTGGGACCCTCCTCAAGCTATCAGCCCCCAAACTTCCTTCTCAAATAGCTCCCAGTTGTTTCTACCTTACCGTGGTACCATTTCACCCGTCCTTAACCCTAGCCCTGCGAGCTTTCCCCTCTCCCAATCCACCACCACTACCTAGGCCAAAGCCCAGGACTGGGCCCCTCAGTTCCCCTACCCCAAACGCCTGCAAAGTGAACCAAAGAGCCCACACTCCAGCTTTATCTCCCTCGAAATTCCAGGTTTTCCCCAAAGCTCCCTTCATCTCCTCCCCTAAAAACTTTCCTCAAACATCTGTAACTTCCCAGGCTAAATAGCTACCCTTTCCACTGGTTCTCACTTGAATCTCTTCCTCCTCCTAACTTCCTCCCTGTGTTGGAAGAGAGGAGGACAGTTCAAGATGGGGGGGGCAGTTAGTTAGAAAGAGCAGAGGAAGAGGAGAGACTCCAGGCCCCCTCCTGGCCTCCTGGGGACCCAAACAGCTGGAGCAGCCAGTCAGGCTCCCTCCCCCCACCGTGCCGCGTCCTGGGCCAGGAAGGACGAGGAGCCGCAGTGCCGCATTCACGCCGTGGGGGAGGGAGAAAGGGCGAGGGGGCCGGAGGCACCGCATAAAGTTTGGTCCCCAGGAAGCGCTGAGTTGGCTAGATTTGGGGTTGGGTGGGGGAGGTGGGGGGGAGGAGGAGTGGAAGGGACGTGGCCCTAGATGCCCCCTTCAGGCCTCTGAGGGGCCTCCTACCCCCATGGCCTGGGGCGCCCTTCTCTAGTATGACCCCATTGAAGGGTTTTGAGATCTGAAGCTAGGGGTCCGGGACAGCTCCGGGGGGTCACTCATTCACTTTACAAATGTTTTTTGAGTGTCCACGTCGTGCCAAGCATTTTCAGCCTCCAAGTGAAAAAAGAGTCTAGCTGAGGCCAATGCAAAGTGGAGGGTCCGGCCCTACCTCCTCGCTGCCCTCCCCATAATCTCTCCTTTCCTTCTTACAGGGATTCCAAACCTTATTACCCCTTCTGATTTTGAACCATCTTGGGGCACGGGGTTAAACCAGTCCTGACGCTGTCCAGCCTCTAAGCTGCACAGTGCAGCGGGTGCCCACCTTTCCTTCTGTGCCCTGAGAGGAAAGAAGTTAATCTAGCGGCCGGCCCGAGGCCTCCCGCTGTGAAGCGGCATTGCGACTGCGCGCTGCCTGCAAGGCTCCGGCCGGAAAGGGTTAAGACGACTCCCAGGCCCTGCGGCTGCGCACTGCGGCGGAGAGCTGT